ATCAAAAATGACAGAGCAAATACTACCACCCCCACCACATAGTATTATACCCTAACCTCAAATTTCATAGCTATTTGAAATAAATAAATTTTGAGAAATCAAGCTTGATCAACAAAGAGGCAGAAAAGTGCAGTCGAGACAGTCAAACGTTGGTAAATTCCTTTGTGAGCCAATCAAAGTTAAGATCATTCAATACATGAATTCGAGGCTTATTCATAGAATAATTATTGTGAAAATCAGTTAGATTAACAACTTCTAGTATATCGAAAAGCCAGTGCATTTTGGTAACAGTACCTTCCAACAATGACTTTTATGTCATGTTGCATGCTTAGCCATGAAAGTATAACCTAATATTGTTCTTAGTCTTCGTATTAACAGTATAAAATGAAATGTATAGACAACAAAACTAGAGAAATATTTGTTGATTTCTTAATTTAGAGTCACTCTTGATTAAATAGGTTTATCTTTTTTTATTAAGAACGTTGGTGATATAACAGAAAATAGCTTAATTCAGAAATGATTTAAGAGTAAAAAATTTTATGCACTTGGTTCTATGCAAGATGATCCCACACTAAGTCTTTACTTTAGGTTTATTATACTAACACTCACTACACTTATAAGGTTTCCCCCCCCCCCCTGCACTCCTGTCACTAAAATCGTAATGGGTAGACAGTAATCGAACAATTCAAAATGCATTTTGGCTTTTACGAGTCCTCTTTCTTCGAGAAATCAAGCATTGTGATGTAACACATATAGGTTAGATAATTTACTTTACATACTTCTATCATCTCTAATTCTCTAGACAGATAGATTGCAAAGATATGCAGATAGATTGAAGAGATAGATAATTGAGTCAAGCGAACAGTAGGCACCGTAAGTAATGTGTGTGAATCACTGTGATTTATAGCGTGTGTTATAAAGGTTGTTAAGTTTCAAGTGACTGTGGAAATTCTATGTACTAAAAAGTTGTATCAAGAAAGAATAAACTAGTTTTAATTGAGAAAGGACTTGTATCGCTGAAGTACCCCGGAAAGAATTTATACCAGAAATTAACAAACGAGCAGATACGCAACAATATGTACAAAAAATGAGAGTAATTCGGACATTTACGAAGCAAATGTAGCCTTAAAACTTACTATATGAAATTTGAAGGATCACAGATTAAAGTACCTGTTAAAGTTGCTAGCAAATGAGAAATAGTTTCTGGACTTTCGAAAAAGCGCCAACCCAAAATTAAACGGCATTTCGATGAACTCACTGAAGGATTACCGTTTCACCTACAGAGAAGAGATATTCAAAGTTACTGTGTCAATACGTGGATACGGACACGTTTTGCCGGAATGAACAAAATAACGAAGTTGTTTAGTTTTCTACAACCAAACAACTTTCTAAATAAAACTGAAGCTGACATAACAAGATAGGCAAAAAATTTACAATTCATCAATAGTGAGGGTTTGTTTAACCAATTTCCATTACAGCTGATAAACACAATTTTCTTCAATAAAAACAATACTAATGAAACGACAAGCCTGAAGGAATTATCTGAGTTACTATTAATGAAATATAGCTTCATGGAAAGTGACTTTTCAGAAGTAAATAGAGCGATTTTAATTTTATTACTTTACCAGTGACTGTAGTGACAGGTGAACGATCATTCAGTAAATTGAAACTGATAAAAACTTATAATTTTTAAAGTAAGTTATTTCTAAATATTACGTTTTTTCTAAACTATTTACTTTCGAAAATGTTGTTTTGTTTCAAACACTTATCTATAATTTGTCAGCAACTTTGTGAAGAATGGTGAAGGAAATGCCCACTTTCGTTGATATACTGAGACTTTTATGTTAATTAAGAAATTAGTTTTTATGGGATATTCTCTGCACGTATGGTCCGGTCCGCCTTGACCCACAGAAATAATGTTTAAGAAAACTAGACTAACATCGAAGCACAGGTGTTTACATTTTAATCACGTTTTTTTAACACTTGTTTACACTTACATTTACACTGAAAACAATATCACAAATTTCAACTTAAGAAATACTAAAAAAACAACTATTTCGAATTCGGTTTTCAGTATTGGTTACAATCCATTGTTAAAAAATGAATTTTTGCCCCTAAAACAAAGTCGAATTGTTCGCGTGTGACGCTTTCTTGAAGTATGAGGAAGTCGTATAAAAATGCAAGACTTTGGTCTCGAAATTGAGTTCACGTGAGAGCACCAAACTGTTGCACTTAAACTTCCACTGATGATAACATTATATAATTTATAAATATGAAAAACGTGTATTTCAGACGTTTTTAATAAGATTCCAAATTCATCCCTCTTGAACTTGCTTAGATATAAATTTATAGAAAATAGTCATAAATACATTATTCATATTCAATATACTGTCGATAGATGGCACTTTTATTTAAAGAATTATGGAGGATAGGTCATCAAATAAATGTCCCGCAAACATAACTAAAAAGTTGCGATAAAAACGTTTCCAAATTACTTTAGTATTTTTTATTTTATTTTCGAAAAAAACATTTATTATTCTGTATCTTTACACAAGTTCTGTAAATATGAAGCAAATAACTTCCTTGCCCAAGTAATATGTCACTGGTAAAGAATTTTATACACATATATTACTAAAATTGTAAAAAAAAAATTAAGTATTCATCTTCTAGTTCAAACAAAGGGAAAATATTAAGAAACCCCATACCAGAAAATAAATTTCATATAACGCAGTAACGTTTCTAACATGATATGTAATGTATATACAAATATGAATAATAATATAAAAACAGAAACATATTATTTATACCAACAATGTGAAGCAACAAGCGGGTACACTAGTTAAAAGTACATTAACCTGTTGCTTTCAAAATGACCTTTATATGATAAATTACTGATCTTTCAGAAAATCAGTATTCATTCCTGTATATTGTGACTAAGATCTCACTACATGATCTATACTAAATTTTTAAAATTAGTAATTAAAAAGTTTGGTTGTTGCTAAGCGCAAAGCTACACAATGCGTTATTTGTGCTGTGCTCATCGCGAATATCTAAACCCGATTTTTAGTGTTATAAGTCCTTAGATTTACCATGGGCTTTTAAGAAAAAAAGAAAAGAAAAAGGACGACAAAACCACCATTGGTTTTTATCAGTGATCATTCATAGATTTAGAATGTGGGTAGGTGGAACTGATTATTTAGGTTAAAGTTTTGATTTTGTGTGTCTGTTGAACGCCAGAATCAACGCATTCAATTTGGTAATTCATCAAATTCTTCTCAGGAACACCTTTTCCACACAGTACAAAAAGGTTTAAAATATTAGGTTTATGATGGAGACTTACATACAAACATAGTCAGGTCCTCAGTTCATTGTAAGAAATAATTTGTTTTATCAAGCCACCAACTCTCACTACAGTGATTATATTCTTTCTGTATTTTGAGATATTCAGTGTTGGTTCGTTTATTCGATTCCTATAAAATCTTACCCAGCTCAAAAAGTTCTATCAGAAGACACACCATCAAACAAATTGTGCATAACCCATGATATGCATCAGATCAATTTTTTGGTATGTAAAAAAAACAAAAAACTCCACCTCACCAATTTTTACTAACTTAATGGATTGGATTGGTTGAATACCCATAACTGGGATAAACTCTTGTTCCCATTTTGTTTGTTTGTTTTTGAATTTCGCGCAAAGCTACACGAGGGCTATCTGCGCTAGCCGTCCCTAATTTAGCAGTGTAAGACTAGAGGGAAGGCAGCTAGTCATCACCACCCACCGCCAACTCTTGGGCTACTCTTTTACCAACGAATAGTGGGATTGACCGTCACATTATAACGCCCCCACGGCTGAAAGGGCGAGCATGTTTGGTGTGACATGGATTCGAACCCGCGACCCTCAGATTACGAGTCGAGTGCCTTAACCACCTGGCCATGCTGGCTCTGTTATCTTCGAAATA